TTGGATTACCAGTGTATACTACCACAACCAGTCCTAGACCAATTTTTATTATCTAGATAGAAAATTGCTTGTACACTTAACTGAAGGCAGAGATGGCAAACACACAATACATGTATATTCTCCACAGTCCTCTCCAATCATCGTTGCTGATCAACCACATTATTTTTTTTGTGCTGAGCCCGGAGGTATCATCACTATTTTCGTTTGTAATGTTCCAGAAAGTTACTGCCAGTTATTCCAACATGACATACAACAAAAAGCCTTTTTGAATTCCTAGTGTAAGGATTTAGTCCATAAGATGAAAATTATATGGAAAATAATGCATATGTTGAAACTAGCTTTGAATTGTTTGTCATTCACGTGACTCAAATTTATCAATAAGAGTAGTGGCTAATGAGAAACCCTAGCAAAGCTGGAGTAACAGATACAGTGTTTATTCTCTTGTCAGATCATTAAATTAACAATTAATCTCTCTTCTTTTGTTTAAAGATTCTACCCTGTTTGCTGAACTTGGTTATTTAACAGACACTGATGATCTGCAGTTGGATGCAATAAATGAGACTTATGTAAGTGTTTGTTAGAGGAGGAATGCTGAATAATGTGATGTTTGATTTTCACCCTAATTATTGCAAGAAGGTTTCAGGATAACTGGTTTAGGCTAATAATTTAAATTTAAATAATGTTCATGATCAAGTATGAAAGTAGTCATTTTGTAGTCAGTAAATAGGACAGTACAATTTCATTAATGTTGGTATGGGAAGACTTGTATTCTAAGCTTGGCTTTAGGTGTGGGTAACCTTGGAAAAGTCACTTAATGGCTCACTTCTTGTTTTTAGAGATACTTTACTGCATAAAGGAATTGGTGTGATATTAAGGGGTGTATGTGAGTCATGGACCCCATCAAGTAGAACTTACCAACTTCTTTTTTAAAAGTTATATATTCTTACTGTAGAAAACTGAAAATTAGGTATATCCTTATTTTTTGCCTGTGATTATTTAGAAGTCTATGTAAAAGCTATGATAGTAATACCCTCAGTTCGAAAAAATTTTTTAAATTTTCTTTTTCCTCTTCTTGATGAGTATGTATGAAGTTGATTAGCCTATGAAATTTTTAACTTTGTCTTGTTCTGTATAATGGGTGAGATGCTGCTATACTGGGGAAGTAATTCAAGTGAGTACAGTAATTTATCAATCAGGTTGAATATCACTTTATTTATTTATTTATTTGATACTGGTGATTAAACTTAGAGGTGCTTAACCAATAAGCCACATCCCCAGCCCTTTTTTATTTAGAGACAGGGTATTGCTGAGTTGCTTAGGGCTTTACTAAGTCGCTGAGGCTGGCTTTGAACTCATGATCCTCCTGCCTCAGCCACCTGAGCCGCTGAGATTACAGGTATGTGCCACCATGCCTGGCTGAATATCACTATTTTTTAAGCTCTTATTAACATGAGTATAAAAATATATATGCGTACCCAGTAAATTTCAGATATATCTCAAAGAATGACTTAGAATTGTTTTACTATGAATCAATAGAAGAGAAAGAAACTCATATTTTTAAAAATCACTGTGTGGGATTTTAATGGTTTTGTTTACTCTTTGAGATATTTTAGATTATGACCTGATGATTAAATTGACTTTTCTTATTGGCTGGTGGACTAAGCAACTCTGTTTCTTTCATAATCTCTTGTTTCTTTCATAACCTCTTGGTCCTGCCACCCATGGTGGTGTTCACCTGTAATCCCTGCTACTCAGGAGGCAGGAGGATTGCAAGTTGCAGGCCAGCCTGGGCAATTTAGGGAGACCCTGTCTCAAAATAAATGGGCTTAGTAATAGAGCACTTTTGGGTTAAATCCCTAGTACTGTAAACAAACAAACAAACCAAAAAACCCCTCTAGATCCCGTTTCTTTTAAATACTATCAAGAAATGGTGTGTTAAGTTTGAAAATTTTTAGGAAATTTCTAGGAATGTGATTTTATAACTCACATTCTATTACGTTATGGAAGTTGCTCAAAGTCAGTTCCTTAATTTTTCCATTATAACATGAAGGAATTAGATTAGATGATCTCTTAGGGTCCTGGTATCTTCCTTCTTCTACATGATAGAAGAATTTCCCTTCATAAGTCATAAGTGCTAATGTATTTTATCTCACATGAAATGGGCCTGTTACATTTCCAACCAGATAGAATTCTTTTGTTGTAGAAGGTATTTGACTTTTTGGCTGAAGACTGATAGAGTCAGAAGCATCTGTGAAGTCAGTTATACCAATCAATGAACATGTTTAAAAGGACTGCTAGCATGAGGGCCAGCAGCATTGTTAAGTTTACTTAGACTAAGAAAGTATAAGTATTTTTTGGATGCTACAAGTCTGCTTAATTTTTTTTTTTAAAGCTCTGTCTCTGCCCCCTGTTTTGTTTTGGGTGGTGGTCCTGGGGATTGAACCCTGGGCCTTGTGCATGCGAGGCAAGCACTCTACCAACTGAGCTAGATTCCCAGCCTAATTTTTTTGATATGTAAGTTCAAATAAGAGAACAAAATGTAAGGAAATTGATTTAATCAATTTGATTGATGGTTCTTTCATGATTTAAGTGTTTTTTAAAAAATATTTATTTTTTAGTTTTAGGTGGACACAATATATTTATTTTATTTTTATATGGTGTTGAGAATCGAACCCAGTGTCTCATGCATGCTAGGCGAGTGTTCTACCACTTAAGCCACATCCCTAGTCCCTAAGTGTTGTTTTTTTTTAATGTGAACTTTCACATATTTTCTTTATGTACCCTGTATCAATATTTACTCAGTAAAGAGCAGTCTGATTATAAAAAAGTTCATATTCTCTCCTTATGTTACTTTCCCAATAAAAATAAACCATATAATAGATATTTTGAAATAATAATACTGTTTGAGAAATTATTAACAAATG